AAGAAACAATGTTGTTTCTCTGGTAGGTGCATTTTTGTTTTTGTGTCCTTTTTTATAGATAAAAAAAATGTAGTTTGATTGTGAGCATAATTAACTGTCTAGTTCACAAATAGACACAAAGCTGCAAAAAAAAGTTTGAATTTGTTTTTTTTTTAGTGAGGTCAGGAAAACCAGTACATTTACATGCATGTGTCTATTGGGCCCAGACCGTTCACCATTCATGTTGTTACAAGAAGCTGTAAGAAGTGTTTTAGCCCAGACCGCATTTTGAGGGATACAAAATACAGATCAGCCCATCAGAACAAAAAACATTTGCATAGATCACTCTTAAAGGCACAGTAACACAAACTGCCTTTCTGTTGTGGTTCTCACACTCCATGCCTACATGCAGCCTAATAATCCGTTAATAATCCAACTAATAGCTCAATCGGAATAGAACACATCCATGTATTAAACCTCAATTGGAATAGACTAGTCCGAGGCCATTCAGAATACAATTTCTGAATACAAAATCTGATTGAACGAGGTGGGTAATCCTGTAAATAATCCGTTAAATAGAAGAATAATATCCCTGTAAACGCCTGTATCTGATTACATTCCCAATTGGAAAGTTTAAGTATGTTCTGCGCATGTGCGTCACGTCATAGTGAAAGTTTATAATGTTCAACATGACGGCGCAGAAACTGGTCTACAAAGAAGACGAAGTTTATGCTGTGAGTTTTAAAAGGCAGTGGTGGGACGGGTGTCCAGCTTACATGTCTCAGATCACGACGTCTCCCTCCCAGCCTTCTTTAATAAGCACATGTGAAGTATGTTTTCCTGAGTCTGACACCATTTCAAAGGAATTAAAAACACAAGCACTGCTTACTCTCTGTCTCACTCTGACGGGACTCAAGTGATGCTCGTTGTCATGGTAACGTCTACACTAAGTGGTTCTCTGCGCATGTTTCTAAGTTTGAATCGGATCACTTGCAGTTTGAGTGTAAACAGAGATTTTCATCAGATTGTTGAGTAGAGTGAGCATATAAACACCTCAGTCTTAATCTATAATCGGAATGTATTGAATCAGATCGGCAAAAATCTTTGCGTGTAAACACAGCCATTATCTGGGATATCCACACTTGCTGCTTGCGCGCTGTGCTTATTTGCTTGGTTGCGACGGAGACCTGCCTGATGATGAGTGCAGCATACTGAGCGACTGACAGAGTCAGAATTAGTTAGCATCACCGGAAGCTGGATGATGAGATGGCTGGTTTCATTTATAAAACAATATCATCATGATCTATAATTCAGGTTGACAACCTCAAAATGAGTCCCAAGACTGTTTGGCCTGTGAAGTCTGCAGTTAAAGCCTAACAGTGTGGCATCTTCATCAGGATGCAGCGCAAAAGGAACAGCAACTATTAGGCCATTAATTAGAAAGATATAGAAATCTATACAGGAATACCATAAATTAAAGCAAGGCATGGGTGTTCTATGTATGTGACAAATAAGGCATCTTTATGGGTATGGAAAGTCCTTACAGCAACTAATACACTGCAAATAAATAATTACTTGGCAAGTGAAAAAACTCACCGTATATCTAGGTAATAAATAAACCAACTCTAGTTATAAGATTGCTACAAGAATATTCTTCAGTTAATAATAGTTCTTATTTTATATTGTTAACTTATTTCAAACAAAAGGTTTGAATAAGTTTGAATAAGCTTATAATATTCTTAAAACAATGTCATAATGGAAACATTAGAAATGCTGTTCATATTTATGACGATTTCACTCGCCAAGAGATCTTCTGCCATGTAATTCAGGTTCATGAGAACTGTACTGTACCTCATAGAAATCCCACACTGTGTACGGCAGAGCCCTTCCAGGAGGATTGTGTGTCTCTCTTTTGCCATTTGTGTAGCTCGTCACATCGAGGTTGACCCCATACTGGACATCATCCTGTAGGTCAACATACAGTGGTAACTACTGATAACCAACATTTTTCCAATTTAAATCATACACCGGCAATGTTTACATGCTGTCTACTAAGACTTTAATAATCACAAATGTTTATATATTTTGAAAAAAAGTAACTGAAATTAATCAGAATTAAAATCCTATCCAATCAGAGTCAGAATACGCAAAAACTTTAGCCCTGTTTCAGTTCTTTTTTTAACATGCCCTCATCCACTTCAACTAACATACATATGAACAGTTCACTCAGAATGCGTAATTGGAATCAGTTCATTCAGACAGACCCACAGCTGTCCGCTTTCAAAAAGACTGCAGACCATCAGGTTCATAACTACACACAGACCTACTTACAGTTCTTAAAATGCGATCAAACTCAGCTGTTGAGAAAAGTCCCTGGTAATAGTCTGGATTCTGGCGTCTAATCAACAGCGGCTTCTTCTCCCAATAGTCTCTATGAGACAAAAGGTTGATATTACATCTCACATTATTATTCGTTTAACATTTCACATAAAACTGGTAGCTGGTTGGCTAATTTATATATATTACGTGAGCAGAGTTGTACCTAAAGAAGGTTTTGGCCTGATTTGGACATATCAGCCACTGAAACATCCTGCTGGCTCTCTCCCTGCTGTTGTTGACTTTCGTCAGGTCAGTGAGAAGCGTGTGAAGCGTCTCGGCACCCACTCCTTCAGCCTCATTTGATGGACACTGCTTTTCCTATAAGGTACTTACATCAATAAGTTTTATGTTTCCAGAGCGCTTCTGAGAGCTCAAAGCCTGCAGAATTACAAACACTTACATCAACAGTTTGTTCCTGGTTCTCCTCCTCTTTCATCTTTTTGTCCACAGGGCTCTTTTTCATCTTTTTTTTCTTGGCTGTCACAGCTGGTGCTGCACCATTCTCCTTTCTTTTCTTCTTCTTGACCTGTGGAGCAGAAACCTGCAAATAAAAATTTATTATTCTGATTTCTGATAAATGCTGTGTAGTAGAAGCTGAATAACTAAAGCAAGATCAGCATCTCAAAGGCGTTTTAAATGCAGATTTAAGGTTTCTGCACTATTTCTCTATCTAGCTTCGTTCTGATGAACATACACATGTAAATACATGAATATTAAATAAGTGTTAATAATTACAAATGTTGAAAAATACTGAACTTGACTTGCAAAAGCAGAAAATGAAGGATTTTGTAGTTGAAGTGGAGGTAGACTGTAGTGGTACACTCTTAAAAAGATGGTTCTTTTTAGAACCGTTTTATACTTGAATGGTTCTTTGCGTACTGAAACAGTTCTTGAGCTTGATGGAGAATGTGTTGCGTATGGTTCCATATAGCACCAAACCAGGTTCTTGTTTTGTTACAAGCTTGACATCGTCACAACAGCAGAGCCCTTTTTGCTGTTAGAACCAATAGAACCAAATATGACACATTCTCAATCAATCTGAAGAACCATTTCACCATGCAAAGAACCATTTCAGCATAAAATGGTGCCATATAGAACTCATGGTTCTAAATAAAACCCTTTCCCTGTACTGCAGAAGCATTGAGGAACCATCTTGGAACAGTTAATATTTCTCTCGAAATTTCAAATGATGATATTTTTACTGTTATGTACATTAGTGAGAAAATTAATATGCCTATTAATATGTCATCAGATTCGTTTTAATCATTAAAATTCAGTTCCTAATTCCCTGATTTGTGTTTAGTTTGTTGTGTTGCTGGACTACTTTACTCACTTTGGAGCTTTACCATTTTATTTTAGACCAAAAGGATCCAGAAAGAGAAAAACAGACAAACAAACTTTAGTTTACATACTGATAGATTCAGGAAGGACTCAGTTCTGTAGAGAATTCAGTACTTGGGATTTTTTTTTAAACTTTTTTGCTGAACTTTTTTCTGAGCTTTTGTGACTTACATTCATCATTACATTAAATAAACACTGCTCCTCCTTCAGTTTGCTGTTATGCTACTTTAGCAGCTTCTATTTGACAAAATAACGCACAGCAACTAATTTCCAGTTCTACAGGCTGAAGGACTGTTAGCTCGGGTCGCCTGGCTAAAAACCACATTTCTCCACTAAAGAACAGCCAAATTCCCGCACCGAGTAGTTCACAACTTAAAAAGCCAACCGTCAGATTACATGTTGTATAATGTGGGTTAAAACCGTAGGTTAAATACCTGCGTTTGTTCTGATTTTTTCGCTACTGTCTGATAAAAAGCAAACGCTGACATGTTTCTCTCCATGTTGCCATTAGCACCAGCACGAGCAGAAGGGATTGAGGTTGCCAGAGAGCGCCAACTAATCACCCCTGCGGGATTTGTCCTCCTCTGCAGATTTGCAGTTTTGAAGCAATGGGATTAAAAACGTGGATAAGCTCTGAAATGAAAACAAAGTCATTCATTCCTGTATGTTTACCCGTTCAAACCAACTGTATAAGACCGTACATCTTTTTTATATATTAATTGATATCGCAATATTTTTTTTACAATTTTATTTTATGTGTATGACTCTTTGGGTCTGAACTACTCCGAATTTTTTAAAAATAGGTGGAACTCCCCTTTAGTGATATAGTTAAACTATTAGTTTGCATAGTTTAAGTAATTTACAGCAAAGCACTACTGGGGCCCATAAGATCCCAGTTACGTCACTGGTTCTGCAAATAATCTCCCGCAAATGAGGGATTCGCTTCGCAAACATGGCAACACAATCTGTGATTTGCTCTACGCGTAATAGAGCCTAAACTGCACTCTTACTGCCACCTGCAGTATTGGAGCCTGACGAGCGGGCAATTTTAGATACAAAACGCGTCAAAACTATTATTTTACTTTACTTTCCACCAAATAGAACACGCTGAGATATGACTGTATAGCATTAAAAATAAAATTAAACTCATATCAGTCCTGATATGCGCTAATCGTGCTTTGGCTGTCGAGATGTTCTGATTTACGGCCACCAGGTGGCGATAGTGCTCTATAACGCAAAGCAACCAATGCAAACAGTGGCTGTTCCCAGCATGCACCACCGCTAGTAGTGTTTGCAGAGCTGGAGGTAACAATGCAGCGCTGATTCGGGCCGATTAGACTGCCAGTGCAGCCCACAGGAGGTGGAAGAACACATGTTTGAAGATTCGGTGTGCCAGTCGTGCCACATGCCGCCTGCGTCAGTCATCTGTGGCTGGTGTTAAGGTGTTTAGGTTCGGATCCGCCGCCGCAGCTGCAGAGCTCCGCACAGACGCTCCGCTCCGGGTAAGAAGCGCAGTTAACAGACCTTCCTCGGCTCGGCTAGCTGGGTTAGCTGGCTGTGCTAGTCGCGGCTAAAGGGCTGGTTGTTGTTTGTTATTGAGCGCGTGAGACATTAACGTTCGCGGATTTGGCGTTTCGCGCTGCCTGGATCAGCCCGATCAGCCTGATCAGCCTGATCGATCAGCCCTCAGGTCTGATACAGTCAGCGGCGGTTTGTTTAAGCGCAGTGTTAAATAATCAGACTCGGCTCTGCTCAACTTCTCACTCTCTGTCTGTGGGTCTGTTATCAGCCTTCTGCTCTGTGGAGCTCATTCTGACACTAATGTAACACGATCAGCACCTCATTATTATTTACATCTCTAACTCCGTCTCTGGGCCGGTATTTCGTCATACTAAGTTATTATTTTGAAATACTACCTCGCTTATTTTGTGCTGCTAGGCTAAGTCTTAATTTTGAGATACTATCTCATTATTTTGAGATATTGAATTATTATTTTGAGATATTGAATTATTATTTTGAGATATTAAATTATTATTTTGAGATACTAAGTCATCGTTTTGAAGTGTTACCTCATTATTCTTACCATGTCATTTGTTTTTAATCTAATTTGAAATACTATTTCATTTTGTGATACTAACTCATTATTGTGAGATACTGTCTTATTGTTTTGAGAAATGTTCTCGTCATTTATAGTTTAATATATGTTTATGTTTTTGTCTCAGAAGCATAAAGCATCTGAAAATAACGAGAGAGCATCTCAGAATAATGAGAGCATCTCAGAATAATGAGAGTATCTCAGAATGATGAGAGTATCTCAGAATAATGAGAGTATTTTGAAATAATAACCGTGATTCTCTTCATAATAAAAACAATAATCCGGTGCTGGATTTCTTATTTTAAGTGGTGGAATGAGCTTCAGTGCTCTTCCACTGAGGCGTGATGACTGATGGGTTTGTTCGCTCTGCTCTGCGTTTGAGGCAGAAAGAGTCGGCGGTTCAGTCAGAACTCAGTGTTCAGTGTTGAGCGTTCAGTGTTCAGTGTTCAGTGTTGAGCGTTCAGTGTTCAGTGTTGAGCGTTCAGTGTTCAGTGTTCAGTGTTCAGTGTTCAGGACTGATAAACAGATCAGATGATGCATCATTAATGATAGTGTTACAGCCTCAGTACAGCAGGGCGGCTCACAGGTCTCACTGGACTGAGTGACGTTAAAACACACGGTGACAAGAAAACACAGGAGGGTTCTGTTAGAAACACGAGGGTTCTGTTAGAAACAGGAGGGTTCTGTTAGAAATATGAGGGTTCTGTTAGAAACAGGAGGGTTCTGTTAGAAACAGGAGGGTTCTGTTAGAAATATGAGGGTTCTGTTAGAAACAGGAGGGTTCTGTTAGAAACACGAGGGTTCTGTTAGAAACACGAGGGTTCTGTTAGAAACAGGAGGGTTCTGTTAGAAATATGAGGGTTCTGTTAGAAACAGGAGGGTTCTGTTAGAAACAGGAGGGTTCTGTTAAAAACAGGAGGGTTCTGTTAGAAACAGGAGGGTTCTGTTAGAAACAGGAGGGTTCTGTTAGAAACACGAGGGTTCTGTTAGAAACACGAGGGTTCTGTTAGAAACAGGAGGGTTCTGTTAGAAACAGGAGGGTTTTATGAGTGGTCTGTTAGAACTGGGAGTGTTCTGTTATAAACGTGAGGGTTCTGTTAAAATGAGAGGGTTCTATTAGAACCGTGAGGGTTTTATGTGAGTGGTCTGTTAGAACTGAGAGGGTTCTATTAGAAATTTAAGGTTTCTATTAGAAATGAGTGTTCTTTTAGACATTAGTGTTCTATTAGAAACACGAGGGTTCTATTAGAAACGTGAGGGTTCTATTAGAAATGTGAAGATTCTATTAGAACTGAGAGGGTTCTATTAGAAATGTGAGGGTTCTATTAGAAATGAAAGGTTTCTATTAGTAGTAAGAGGGTTCTTTTTAGAAACGTATGGTTTTTATGTGCGTTCTGTTAGAGACATGAGGGTCCTATTAGAACTTTGAGTGTTCTATTAGAACCGTGTTCATTCTGTTAGAAATGTGACTGTTGTATTCTGAGCTTTCATTATTAATCAGTGTGTTCATGATAACGTGGTGGTTACACTAACAGTGTTCTGTTCAGTGTCTGTGCCATTCGAATGTTCAGAATCCCTCAGTCTGTCTGTTCTATTAAAGGGCCCACAGCCGACGTTTTCTTGTTGTAAATGAAAGTTGAGTAATGTGTTTGGACTGTTATACATCTGAGCCTCATTTTGGAGTTTAGTCTCAGTGCTCTGCTCACAATTCCAGCATTCCTTTTGAAATTTGAGCATCAGACGTTGCTGAAAATTGAGTGTTTTATTCAGAATCCCTCCCTTAGAGTTTGAGTGTTCCACTTAAGCAAAGTGTTCCTGGCTTTAGAAGTTAGTGCAGAAAATAACAGCCCTCTGATACAACCCCCCTCCCCCGGGGGGGGGAACGTAAAGATCACTGTGCCAGAGCTGCTGGTCCAACTGAACCTGTTTAATGGGATAGGAAAGTGCTGACACCTTCAGCTGGGAAACAAATTTGGTAAAAATGTGAGCACAGATCTGTGAAATATGTGTGGAATTTAGATGTCAGTGTTTCACAGCGGAGCCTTTATTTTTGATGACTTGTTAAGAGGCAGCAAGCTTTGTACTGCTCTTGTAGTAAAAAGTAAAGAGGTTTGCCCTTTAAAAGCTGTCACTTCAGTGTCAAAGCATGTCAGAGGTGTAATCATATCAGTGGGCAGGAGATTTTAGCAGCACAGCAGATGAAGAGTTGGGACATCATTTGTCTGAAAAGGACGGACGACATCTGTGCAAATACGGATGATTGAGAAAAGAGCAGCTGTGGATGAGCATGTATGAGATGAATGGTGGTCTTGTGGTGCTGGCGTGGGCTCAGCAGTGGTGACGTGTATGATGAATCGAGGCTTCAACTTTGGTTTGAATATTCAAAACTGCTTAGGCCACTTTTTTGTTTTTTTTTGGTTCCCTCAACCTCCGTTCTACTTTCTCAGTATTCCAAACACGTGCTCATCATATGTGTGAGCTTCAGAGTGAAACTATGCTTGGCTTTGCACTGTTAAGCAGTCGTGTTGTTTTCAGAAGAGTGCAAAAAAGTCCGGAACAGCACACAGTCTCCCTGTTTCCTTGTTATTAATGCAAATATATAGTAGTTAATTTTACCATATAGGCTAGCAAACTTGGTATGTTGATGTGTTGTACACTCGGGCTGGGAAATATGACAATAAAGATGGTTATCATGATAAATCGTCACAATACGATGTGCTTTTTCTGAACATGGCGTGGATATTTGTATACATATATAGGTATACATATACACAACCCTGTTTCCAAAAAAGTTGGGACACTGTGCAAAATGTAAATAAAAACAGAATGTAATGATGTGCAAATCATTTAAACCCTATATTTAATTGAAAATTATACAAAGACAATATATCAGATGTTGAAACTGAGAAATCTTGTTGTTTTTGGACAAATATATGCTCTTTTTTGATTTCATACCAAACATGATTAAAAACAGTTGAGACTGGCATGTTTACCACCGTGTTGCGTCACCACTTCTTTTTCCCACACTTTGTAAGTGTTTAGAAACTGAGGAGACCGACTGCTGTAGTTTTGAAAGTGAAATGTTTTCCATTCTTGTTTGATGTAGCACTCAACAGTTTGGGGTTTCTTTTGACGTATTTTTCATTTCAAAATGCGCCAAATGTTATCAGTGGTGACAGGTCTGGACTGCAGGCAGGTCAGTTTAGCACCCAGACTCTTTTGCTATGAAGCCATGCTGTTGTAATACTTGCAAAATGTGGTTTGACATTGTCCTGTCGAAATAATCAAGGTGTCCCCTGAAAAAGACGTCATCTGGATGGCAGCATTCACAGATGTGAAAGTCACCCATGCCATGTGCACTAACGCACCCCTATACCATTGTGAATACTGGCTTTTAAACTGTCCACTGATAACAAGCTGGTCTTTAGCCCGGAGGACACAGTGTCCATGATTTCCAAAAAAAACTTAAAATTTTGATGCGTCAGACCACAGGACACTTCTCCACTTCCCCTCAGTCCATCTTAAATGAGCTCAGGCCCCAGGAAGGCAGCGGTGTTTCTGGATCCTGTTTATATATGGTTTCTTCTTTGTATGGTTGAGTTTTAAGCTGAGTTGTGTATGTAGCTGAATTGTGAAGTGTTGCTGAGCCCCTGCAGTGATTTCCACCACAGCATCTTGTCTGTTTTTAATGTAGTGCTGCCTGAGGGCCCGAAGATCACAGCCAGCCAATATTGGTTTGGTCTTGTCCCTTACATACAGAGATTTCTCTGGATTGTCTGAATCTTTTAATGATATTATGTACTGTAGATGATAAAAACCTCTGGTTCTTTTGTATTTTCCGTTGAGAAATGTTATTTTTGAATTTTTGCACCATTTGCACACTCTTTCAAAGAGTGGTGACCCCCTCCCCATCTTTACTTCTGAAAGACTCTTTTTATACCCAGTCATGTTACTGATGTGTTGCCGATTAACCGCCAGGTGTTTTTTTTTATTAAGGATTAGACTGTCTTTTGTTGCCCCGTCCCAACTTTTTTTGAAATGTGTTGTTGACATCGAATTCAAAATTCAAAATGGGCATATGTGTTTAAAAACACAATCAAATTTCTCAGTTTCAACATTTGATATGTTGTCTTTGTACTATTTTCAGTGAAATATAGGGTTTAAATGATTTTCAAAAAATTGCATTCTGTTTTTATTTACATTTTGCACAGCGTCCCAACTTTTTTGGAATAGAGCTGTATATATGAGAGAGACACAGAGAGAGAGTTATTTTTTTATTAGCAATGGGCTGGGATACCATGGCAGTGCCCTAGCAACACCTTAGCAACCACCTGAGATACCATAGCAACAGCCTAGCAACACCTTAGCAACCACCTGAGATACCATAGCAACAGCCAAGCAACCACC